TGTTTATTGTAGACCCTTATAGTTACTGTAGCAATATCATTTTCTTGTGAATGAACAGATTGGTGAAACTCCTTAGGTGAAGAGACAAGGAATTATCAAGCTCACAAATGCCACAGACCATTAGGAAAGATTCAGAACCTTAAATTCACAACTTATACCTTAGACATAGCCCCTGCCTTTTATGCTCAGCTTTATCTCTCCCTCAAACGTCCCTTCTCATTCCCACTGTTAGTTTTCACACCCACACTCATGCTAACCTAGCTCTAACACTTCAGATTTTGCTCTGCTCCTATTCCTTCTTGCATAATGCTTGTTTTCCTGAGATCTAAGCTCAATGCCTTTGACATGGCTCCTGAACTTAAGAGGAATAAACTGCAGGGAACCACCTCTTCCTGGAACACTGGGGCAAGAGTTAAGCATCGTTGGAACTTGAAAACACTGTTACAGCACATTTACATAGAAGTCTTTGTTATAAGGACCCTTTTGGAAATTTTTTTAAAATGTTTTTATTATAAAGGTGATGCACAGGGGGTTACAGGTGTATAAGTAAGATTAGTACCCCCCTCTTTCATTTTCTCCAACTTACTCCCTCTCCCCAATATGTATAGTTCATTTCCAACATAGTGTCTAGTGAACATCTGCCGTAGGTAATATATGGAACGAAGCCAAATATCCCTCAGTAGATGAATGGATAAAAGAAGTTGTGGTATATATACACAATGGAGTTCTAACGTTCTGTCTGAAAGAATGACATTGCCTATTCTTAGGAAATGGAAAGATGTGGAAAACATTATATGAAGTGAAGTAAGCCAGGACCAAAGAAAGGCAGGTTGCATGGTTTCCCTCATTTGTAATAACTAGAATATGTCTATGATAGTCTTCACAGGGGGTCACAATGGCCCGATTGCTAAGTGCATAGGATCATATTTAATGAAGGGTATCAAAATGAACTCCAAGAATTGGACACAAGAGTTTCTCATTATGTCCTGTTTGAAAATACCCAAACTAAATGAAAGGGCATTGCCTTCCTCTGGTGGCTCAACAGAAAACCTCTGACTCTGTCCGGGACTATGACATGATTAGCCCAAAGAAATTCCTTCATTTTCCTAAACGGACTGCTAAGATCGGTGAAGAGTTCCTCGTTATAACCTCCTAGTGGGTGGATAAGCGAGACACGCAACTCACTTGATACACATCTGCGAGACACTGTCCCGCCTGCTTCCTGCTCCGGATGTCCCAGACTGCTCTTCCCTTATCCACGTTTGAGTGACTGTGCTTATAAAGGTGAAGAAAAGAAGAAACAATGGAAGAGGCCGCTGTGGTTCAAAGGTAAGATTGGAAGCATGCTCCACACGTGGTTCCTGTGCTAATGGAGGCCATCAGCAAGGACGGTACCTACCTTACCAGTGCATCTCTTGGAAAAGACATCAGCGCTAATCAGGATCCTGAACAGCAGGAGCAGGGCTTGCCCTGGTGATCAACCAGGACAGGCACTACACACACCAGAGGGGAAGGTGGATAAACTGCTTCAGGAATGAAACTGAATTCCGTGGCCCCTGGGGCAAGTAGCAGTGACAGTGGAAGTGAAGTTGACATCAGAGGAAGTGCAAAAGCTATAGTACACCTCCAATAGCACATCCATTGTTCCTTCTCAGTCTTGGGTTGTTAATGGCTCCAGGGATCTGCAACTCTTAAAGTCCAGAAACCAAGAGCAGCCAGTTAGAGGCCTAGGGCAGAATCCCTGAGGCGTGTAACTCTATACTGCCACCTGGAGGCCACTACTTGCTGCTGCCCACTGCTCTCCACCTTTGTTTCTTTTCTTTTTTTATTTTGTTTTTCTTTCTTTTTTTTTTTTTTTTGGTAAGTTTTTTTTTTATTGTGAGGATACTATACAGAGGAGGGGTTACAGTTACACGAGTAAGGTAATCAGTACATTTCTTATCAAGCATGGTTGTCTCCTCCTTTGTTTTTCCCCTACCATCCCTTCCCTCCCTTCTCCACAACTACATTCCTCCCTTCCACCCCTTTCCCCGCGCTAAAATTGCAAAGTTCGTTTTTCGACATAGTGTCTTGAACATCTCATTGTTGCAATGGGTCAACCTGTATCCCTGTTTAAAAAATTTGTTTTCTCCCTTCCCTTCCCCAAATTATACCAACATCAAATACAGTGAAAACAGAGGTTATACCGTGGGGGACGGACATAGGAAGCAACCAAAAAAAAAATCACGTGGTCACTTATAAATACAATAGAAAAAATAGCAAGCAAGAAAAAAAAACACTTGTGTCCTTATCTTGGGGTTCATTTCGCTTAACATCATCTTATCTGATCCTTTCTGCTTGTCCTAGACATATACTAGTTATTGCAAATAAGGGAAACCATTGGACCTATGTTCTTTGGGCCTGGCTTACTTCACTTAATATATTTTTTTCTAAGTCTTTCCATTTCCACCTCATTTTCTTACTAGGCTTAGGAGGAATTTCTCTCTCCCAACCCATGATTTCTACCCAAATACAACAAAATTACCCCATCTAGCTTGCTTGGGATGTAAGGAGCCATTCTGGGTTGCCTAGATTAATAGGTCTCATCCTTCTTACAAGTTGTTATTTGAGTTATATCATTATAGAAAACAAATCTAGACAAGTGAATTGCAATACACACTATGTATAGTAAATTAATACATAAATGTATATAGTCAGTTATAATATTAGATTTTATATTACTAGCTTATGGTGAATTGTAAAGGGACATACTAGTTTTCTGATGCTTGTATTGGCATGCTATATTAGCAGTATGCCTAAGAGTTGTTACTGAGATTACAGTAAGGCTCTGTCTTCAGATTTTTAAGTTTTGAATGTACTAAAAAAGATATATGAAAAACAATTTGATGTTGCTTTCTAAAGCATCTTACCCCCAGTAGGAGTAGGGATAAGGCTGGAAGTGGAGCCCATCACATGATCAAGCATGAGATAGTAGAAAGAAACAAAGAGGAAGGGTGTTACAGTCTTATCTCAAAATGAGCCCAGTAATCAGGGAGAGAGAGCTTCAATACTAGTCTCCAATAGGTGAAACAAAAGAATATTTTTGTTTTCTCAGAAACAAAAATCATCATTTTATTTTAAGAGACTGGGTAGTTATTAGATTCACTGCCTCACTTGTTTTTTCTTACAAATTTGAAAAATAGCTAACAACAGAAGCAAACTTTCTGACTTATTTCTAATTAATGAAATTATTTTGGTAAGTATTCTTTTTTGTGTGTTTTTAATTGTAAAAATACTGTCCAGAGGAGTTACAGTTACACGAATAAGGTAATGAGTCCATTTCCTATGGAGCACTGTTACCTCCTCCTTTGTTTTTCCCCTGCCATCCCTTTCCTCCCCACTTCCCCAAATCTACCCCCCCACCCTGCTGAAGTTATAAAATTTGTTTTCAACATAGTGTCTTGTACATTTCATTGTAACAGTGGGTAAACTTGTATCCTTATTTAAGTATTTTGTTATTTCCCTTCCCCTCCCCAAATTAGAAAAATGTATATACAAGATGTATAACCCCTGTTTTCACTGACTCATTCTTTATTCAATGCCAACCAATAGAATTCAAAAAGTTATTAGCTCATCGAAGCAACATTTCTCACTCATGAAGGCTTCAGGTTTCACTTATTCATTCAAGTGATCCTATAAAAATAGTTACATCAAATAGATTAAGATTCTGTATTAAACACACGAACCAAAAAGGACTTTTTCAGGATAATGTGCACATTGTCTGGGACAATCACAAACATGACTGACTATAGAATAGTGGAAGAAATGGTTTAGGTTATGGTTATTTCTTTTATGGCTAAGGATTAATAATTTACTGTTTTCTTAAAAAATAAACATTGCTACTAGCTTTTCAAAGTACTTAAAATAAGGAAATTAGTAACAACAAGAAAACTATATTCCATGCATGTGATTCTAGCCTTCTATTAATATCAAAATATGATTCAAAGATAGTGTTTTAGGTATTGCTTTATTATTAGTATAAGGGAGGGTAAAAAATGAGAACATGAGAAAGTAAACCTCTATTGGCTCTATTTCTTGTGACCACACTGTGTTTGAATTTGTTATCTTCTCTGGTTGATAAGACAATTCAGAAGAATAAGAGTCCTTTTAGTTGGGTTTCAGGGCATGTGGGAATTATTACAGGAGCTATTATTTATTCTAATAGAAATGACTAAAAGAAGAATACTTATTTGGATGTGTTAATTATATTATGCTGATAAAAATTTTTAATTGTATTTTAACAACCAATAGTACATCATTGAAATTGGCTTACAACAACAAAACTGAATTGTACAACACTTTCCAACTCTCAGTATTTGAATGAGAGAGAAACACTTGATTTTTAGGCACACTTGACTAGTAGATTCAAAACACAACAGGAAGTGGAAAGCACATCTTTGGCAAGGTGAAGATTTCAAAGACATTGAACTCCCCATGGGGACCTGGGGCTGCAGCTTAGCAGTAGGCTGGTTTAGAAGGAAGAGAGGGCAGATACAGATGCCTGGTCTTCATGAAATGCATATTACCTAATATCCGTTTCTTCACCCAACTGCCCTTTAAAAAAATGTTAACTTGACTCATTTCATCTTACACCATACACATATCTTCCCTAGTTGTCAAATAGTATAGGAGGAGAAGAGAGTTTGAAAGAAGAGCCATGTGCTTACTGCCTGTGCCACAGTCTAGCTAATTTTTTTCCCAGTAATTGAAATCTTGACAGTTGTCTTTGTTTGACTCATACCCTCCATTAAAACGTCACAATGAGTTCTCATAATGTACCCTAATATTCAAAGTACATGTGTTTTAAGTCTGTGTCTGAATTCAGTCATTCTAGAACATGAGACAATCCAACATGAAAAATTCAGACATACTGGTCCCCAAATTCCTAGTTATAAGCAGTTCCATCACAGACTAAAAGATTCTAGCAAAGAATAAATGGGATCCTAGTTTCTAATTTCAAAAACTTATATAAAGTAAGTTATCAATTACACTTTTTAGCAAACCCTACTAAGTGAATTTGCAATTTTAGTTGATTATTCAGGATCTGAGACTGCATACATTTTAAGAATCAATGTGTATTGACTTATAGGTGCTAGCTAATATTTGTAGCCAGTTAAGAGGACTCTGACACATTAGTGAATGAGGGGATTTAGTTTAAAATCGAAATATCCTTTGTCTTTTCCTTGGGAATAAGGGTAGATTATTAGAATAAATACCATTTGTTCAATTCTGCACTGAAAATTTACTTTGTAAAATATATACTTACCAATTTAATTATTTAAGTAGCTGTGACATGGAAAAGGGAACTTTTCATTTGTCTGCTAGTTTATCAACAAAGAAACAAACTTACCAAGTTTCATGCCTGATCAACAAAAGATGCAACTATTTTATAAATATAGTTAACAGCAATAGAAATGTGAAATTCATATTGTTTTAGAATTGATATTACCAATCTTTTCTGATATATGATTCTTTTAAATTATCTTTAATTAGTTGCACAGAGGAGCTTCAATCCAATATGTCAGTTTATTTGTACAACGCAACGTGATAAATATCATCTTTTCTACCATTCTTCTATCAATATTTTAAGTATAGAATTGAGATCCTTATTTTGTAATTTTTATGATTTCACTTGTCATCTGAATTTCTTAACTGTTGAAATGCTGATAATTATGATGTCTACAGAGTTATTGACAAAACATTTGATATTATACATTGACCTTGGTAGTTAAATGCTGTTACTTCCACACAAATGTATATTACAGCATAGTTTGATTATCTGTTTGTTGAATTAAGTTATATTACCATCTACTGGGAGACATAGATGATAATACTAACATCAGAGATTTTATTTCTAATAATAAAGTGATTAAGAGTAGCAATAAAAATGGTGGTGACCCCTAAAGGGATTTCCCAACTTCCTTCAATTGTGGTAAATGAGGATGTGGATATGATACAGTGTAAAAGACACTAAGACAGTGGCTTAACTGAGTGCAGAGAGATTGCTCTTCTACTCTTCTGAGACAGAGTGGAAACTGAAAACTGGTGCTGTTGTTCTCTGCCTCTGTATTATTAATATGAAAGGGTGTATTAAAGTTGAACCCTTGTAGTGTAGGCAGCCTAAGTTACACTGTTGAGTGCCATGCTTGCCACTCGAAGTGGAAAAGGTTTTTAGCTGCATCATAATTTCAATTTCAGGGTCTTGTCTGTGGGATTCAAGAGATCACTGAGTCTGAATGCTTGTCATTTGATAAGGAAACTAAGAGGCCTTTAGAGAGCTGTAATGTGGCCAAACCTAGACAGCTTGGCTCATGCTGAACCCATGCCAACCACTGCATCATTCTACAACCTGAATGCATAGGTCTTTCCCTAAAGGTATTGGATTAATGACTTTTCACTGAGCATCTTCTTTTTTTTTTTTTGGTAGAAACCTCATTATTTGTTTATCACAGGAGTACTATGCACATTTTTTTCCTCTGAAAGTAAATGGAAGTTCATCTTTAAAACAAATTAGCTCTTTCCTAAGATCTAGAAATAATAGTTTTATTTTTATTTTTTATTAAACCACTGCCAGAACTAATGTAATAAATCAAGTAGCTAAGCAAAACTAATAAAGAAAAACAATAAACTTCTCAAAAGAGTAAAACTACATTTTCTTATCCTTTGAACTAATTTGTCTATAAACAAACAACAAAGAAACAAAGCAAAAATAAACCTCTGTCTCTTTCTTCTCAGGATCGAAAGGAAGGCAAGAACTAATATTGGTCATAATGTGGTGGCTTTGATATGACACTCCTCTGGGATTGTGTTAAAAACAAATTTGGGGATATCAGTCATGAGAGAAAAAAATATTAAGGCAGTCAAAGCCAGTGAATAATATTTTTAAATTTTTGAACCAAAGACAGGTCTGAACAATCTTTTATGGGACTCACTATGGGGTTTGAAATAAAAGCAAAGGAAGAGAAAGGGAAAATAGTATAAAGAGAAACAGTGAAGCAATGCCCTACAATAGGGTGGAGGAGGGGAAAGTGGGGCAGAGCATTTGGAGGGATGGAAGCTGACACAGAAAATGACTTCTGTTGTCACTCTGGGTACCACTGCCATGACTTTCCTAGATTGATCTGGCTTAATCCCCAGGACTGGTACTCCCTTTTATTTTTGCTGTCAAAAGCAAAAAAAAAAAAAAAATATGGGGGGAACAGGGTTGTGGATTTTTTTTTAGATAGATTCCATTCTTAGATAAAAGTTAATCTTTAACTAGATTGAAATGGAAATTTCAATGTTTCAAATAACGTGCAGTCCAAAGCCAGTTCAGAGATTATAGTGAAGATTTGTGGCTGAAAGACTTGATTAAAAAAAAAAAAACCCTTTGACTTATTTGCTTCCTATTGATTTTAAAACTTCAACTAATGAAAAGCTTTAAAGATGGCATCTGTAGTAGGTCCTAAATCTTCCTTACTATAACACAACAACAACAACAACAACAAAGCATTTGCTCTGTTTATTTCTCACTTCTACAGTTTTAATCTCATAGAATTTACTTCCCCCTAACCATTAGGCTTGGTTCATGACAATATTCACAGCTGATTTATGCAACTCATAATTAAATGAAAACAACCAAAGCCTGGCAGCATCATATGAGTTTTTAGTAAAAACAGGCTGAAATTTCTACAATGCAAGTCTTATTCTTTGGTAGTTACGAATGAAAAAGGAAGGTAATCCAGGGATTTTTACAAGAAAAAATATGTAAATAAAGATAAAAGAGAGACTCAATATGCAATGAAAACATTATAAAAATAAACAAAAATCTTTTGGTTAATAACACATTGAAAACTGAATGAGAATCCAGAGATTGGGACTATCCTAAAATTCCTTCTCCTCCTTATCCTCATTTTCTTCCTCCTCATTTTACTCTTTCTTCTTTAGGTAAGCCTAAATCTGCTCCCACCAGTTATACATAGAACACATCCTATGGGAAAGTCTCCTATTAATGTAACTAATTAGATTGTTTGGTTTTGCCACTGTATAAGATGGTTTTCATGGATTTTTAAAATCCAGTATTTAAGAAAAATGTGAGTCTAAAGCTCTAGTATAGATTTACTGTGTAAACAAAGATCGCAAATTGAAACTCACGGAAAGTTGTTGAATTAGGTAAGAGGTAATGGCTCTGAGCACAGTGAGAGACAGGGAATGTGATTAAATTACTGTGTATGCATGTGTGAAATGTCAGGATGAAGCACCTTTGAACAATTAGCATGCCCTAACAATAAATGGAAGAATAGGAATGTAAAACAGTATTGATCTGGAATTAACTAATGAGATGGGGAATGGTGAAAGAAGAGGATAAAAGATGAGAAATATGGCCCAAGTATACTAAAGCTTGTTGATATTGGTTTAAGAAAAGGAGAGGAAGTGAATGAGTGATCGGGAGTGTGAAGCTGTGAAAGGTACATTGTATTGCAAATATGGCTATGTTCAAATGAGACTCCCTTGTTGTAACTAAGTGATGATAATAAAAATGTGAAATAAAGTCAATGTTTTTATACTTAGCTGCTTAAAGAATGTATTTCCCTCTATCATCTTAGAGAGCATAGCATTATTGCTTCTTTCATTCTTTTTAAATATCAGGCAAGAAATCATAGTCCTCTGCTACCCCTGTGCTTTCCTCAAACACATAGCTACGTTGCAACAAGTCCCCTAAGCAATTTGGCAGGATGTGGTCTTTCTCCTTAAGGCGGATAAGACTGGAGTGACAGAGAAGGAGCAGGTCAAGATGAGGAAGGATTTGAGGAGCGGTGCTCAGACACCTGCACACCAGGCTGCATCCTACTCAGCTCTAGTGGAGAGTGTTATTAATCCTCCACTTTAATGAGCACCAAGCTTCCACATAAGACTTAAAAATGAATCTCTTACTAGTTTCTCTTCTCAGGCTTTCTGCAATTTCATATATTGGAAAATGAGACATTGAACAGCCATCGGACACAGAAGCAGGGCAAATTCGTTAATATGGAGTTTTTCATAATTTTAGCACAAAAGGAAACCATTTGTGTGTGTGTGTGTGTGTGTGTGTGTGTGTGTGTGTGTGTGTGTGTGCATGTTTCATATTGTCACTAGATCTGTAAATCTACCTAAAAATAAAATTTTTATTGGCTTTTTGAAAATATTAGTCTCTTACTACAGTAACTTTGTTTTTCTGTTACTCTAAATCAGATTCTCCAATTATTTGCTCTTTACACACTCACTTGATATCCAATCAGAGATTATAAATGTTAGATGGATAGCTTAATATATTTCCAGGCCTTTTTACTAAGTATTTCTATCTAGCATATTTGAAATACTCTAAAGAAACTCGTGTATCTAGCATATATGAAAAAATATTCCTTTGCATCATTGAGATCAAATCATGACCACAATCTAAATAAAGAGATGGCATTCCAAATGAATGGTAAGAGATTGCAATTGTATCATCTATGTCATTACTATTAACAAATAACTCAGAAATAGGAAATTTATTCTCAGAAGTCCTTTAGGAATGTGTCCTGACTTTGGCCCTCAATGTATCTGTCTGAAGATTCTGGATTCCTATTCTCGGCTAGGCACTGATTTCTTTAGGAAATAAAGATTGTAGAACCAACATGTGGGCTGTAATATGTACTTTTTCTTTTGTAGATAGCCTCTTTTCAGAAAGCTGTAAACAAATGTTAAAGCAATGAATTAATCAATGGAAAAAATTAAAAGCAATCTTGAACCATATGTTGTAACTTCCAAAGACTAAGACAGAGCCTTATGAGTGCATAACCTTTGTTATGCTAAGTTTCCAAGTGTTCATTTATTCATTAGCTCATTCCACTAACTGGCTCTTCAGGAACGATATGAAAGAAAAACTGCAGAACTGAAATCCCCCCCATCCTGTATTTTCTACTTAATAAGAAAAGAAACACTCTCTGAACTGTTTGCCAAAGAGACTTGCTTTACAGCTGCTAGGAGTGGAGGCAATATGCATGAAATTGCAATTCATTCAAGAAGGGGAAAATGTAATCCACAGCTAAAACAACAGCAAACCCTTGTTTGGTTATGTTTGCATGAACTTAATACCTTGGAAAATTAGATTTATTTATTTTTTTTACTCTTTATTATCTTAACATTTACAAAGGAGTTGCCTTTTATCAAAGCAGCTTATAAATACAATATATCTTGATCCATGTCACCTCTTTTCAACATTCTCACCCATCCCTTACCCAATTCTTCCCTCACTTTTCTTAATTTTCTAGGATATATGTTAGATTCTAGACTATATTCTCTCCCTCTTCAATTAATTTGTCTAATGCCTTTCTCTTAATCCTACCTCACCTCTTTCAATTATATATATATATATATATATATATATATATATATATATATATCTTAGTGTTTTGTTTTGCTGAACTTTTAAAATCTTACTGAAAACATAAAATTCCATTTATTAATAGGGTAGCATATGTTGTTGGTACACACACACACACATACAATACGATGCTCAAATAGGGTTAAAATGTGTATCTCTATCATTACTTTATGGTGAAAATTCAGTCCTTTCTTCTAGCTTTTTTTTTTTTTAGTTGTGGGGTTTGAACTCTGGACCTGGGCACTTTCCCTCAGCTCTTCAACTCTACTCTACCATGTGAGCCACAGCTTCACTTCTGGTTTTCTGGTGGTTAATTGGAGATAGGAGTCTCATGGACTTCCTTTCCCAGGCTGGCTTTAAACCATGATCCTCACATCTCAGCTAGGATTATAGGTGTGAGTAACTGGTGCCTGGCCACCTTTTTTTTTGTTTAAAATGGTGCATTGTTACTTCTACTTCCTATCTGCTTTATCTTAGTATACATTGATCAATCATTCCCATACTGTCCTTCTCAATAATCTCTCCAGCTTGTTTTTCTTATTATAATTTTATTTTCTGTAAGTGATTGTACAAAGGGTTTATAATTCAGCTGATCAGTTTGTGAGTACAATGAATCTCAAACAATAGCACCCTTTCATTATTCTCACCCATGTCTCCCAACTCCATCTGTGCCCTAAATCTCTCCAGTTTCATGTTTGCATATGAGCATGCAATATCATGACTTCTTCCTCCACCTACTTCATCTCTTCGTTAGCCTCTCCTCCCTTCTGCTGATTTCACTGAACCTAGACACCTCCAGTACCAGCTTCTTGGTATTCATATTGTTAAAGCATTAGTGAGTTGTTCAAAGGATTTACACCATAAGAATTCTTTTTTTTCAAATCAAATCCACCAATATATTTTATCTTATTTTATTTTTTTAATTGTGAAAATTCCATACAGAGGGGTCACAATTACATGGGCAAAGTAATGAGTACATTTCTTATCAAGCATTGTGTTGCCTCCTCCTTTGTTTCCCCATCCTATCTCCCTCCCCACTCCCCCACTTCCCTGCAGCCAAATTTGTAAAGTTTGTTTTTCCACATAACGACTTGTACATCTTATTGTTGGAATGGGTCTACCTGTGTTGAATTCTCTTTTGCTTATTCTGTACTTCAGTTAATATGTTTGTAAGAGCATATGATCTTTCATATGTATTTCTAACTTCCACAGATGATAGAAAACATGTGCTGTTTGTCTCTCTAGGCCTGACTTCCTTCACTTAACATAATTTTATCCAGGTCCACCCATTTCTTCGCAAATGACTTAATATTATTCTTCCTGATGGATGAGTAATGTTTACATGTGTAAAATTTATTTATATATGTATATATGTATATTATATTTTATGTGAAATATATGTACAAATAACACATTATAATATATTAAAATATATACCTATATTATATAATAAATTACATGCATATAATGTATATATAATTATTTATGATATATTAAATATATGTGTATATAATATACTTTATATCTTATTAAATATAAATAAAATTAATATAAATGATGTGCATATTTTATGATATATTTTCTTTATAGTTTAAATTTTATGTTTTATAAATAAAAATAGTTATATAAACTACATGTACATTCATATAATAATGAACATTAGTGAACATGGTTGTACAAGTGTCTTTGCTGTATCCTGATTTGTAATCTTTTGGATAAATGTCCAAGAGTGGTATCATTGGTTTAAATGGGTAGTTTTCTGAGGAATCTCCAACTTATTTCTTTAGTGGTTGCATCAGTTTACACTCCCTTCATCACATTCCACCAACATATGTTGTTTCTATTATTGATGATGGAATTTTCAGCCTCTGCTAAACATTATTTTCTTCTCATTTTCTATAAGATCAATTTTCTTTTTGCTTCCATGTATAGTAGAAGACATATGGACAGCTTTCCTTCACTTAGTTCTATCCAAAGTATTAGAAATGGCAGGAGTTCATCTTTTATGACTTTTATGACTGAATCTATTCCATATCATATCATATTTTGAAGAATTTATTAGTTAGTGGATGCTTAAAATGTTTCTGTTTCATGGATATTGTTAATAGTGCTGCACAGAACATGAAACTAGAGGTGTTTCTGAAATACATATTTCATTTCCTTTGGACAGATATAATAGGATTTATGGATTACATGGTAATTATTTTTTAATTTTGCAAGAATTATTCCTACTGGTTTACGTAATAGCTGTACTAGATTTATATTTCCACTATCAGATTTTAATGTGTCTGATCTCTTCCTGTTTTACTTTTTCTTTTCATTCAGAGCCTGGGTCTTGAACTCAGGGCCTTGACACTGAACTTGAGCTTTTTTCTCGGCCTTGAGCTTTGCTTGTCCTTGAGCTTCACTTCTTGCCTCTCTCTCTCTCTCTCTTTCTCTCTCTCTCTCTTTCTCTCTCTCTCTCTCTCTGTCTCTCTCTCTGTGTATGATAAATTGGAGATAAAAATCTTATGGACTTTCCTGCCCAGGCTGACTTTGGACTGAAATTTTCAGATCTCAGCTTCCTGAGCAGCTACGATTACATGCATTAACAACCTGTGCCTAGCTCCTGTTTTTCAACTTTGATTCTCTTCATTTCTTTCCCTGGCCTTTTTGGTCTGTTTAGGACCCCCACCCCACCCCAGGGCACTGTTGAATAATGTGAGGACAGAGATCATTCTTGTCTTCTTCCAGATATTTCTGAAAAATTTGCTTTTCCCTTTTAAGTACAATATTAGCTGTTGGCTTGCTTTTTACATTCATTCTACATTTAATGTTTGATGATTTTTATCACACAGTTATGCTAAATTTTATCAATGCTAGTTTGTAGATGTTCAAAAACACTTGTATCTCTGGCTTTCATCATGCCTCTAATCACAATGATACTTTGCATGTGCCATTAGCTTCAGTTTGCCTGTATTTTCTGAAGGATTTTTCATCTTTGTTTATAAATGATATTGATCTATAGTTATTATTTTGTGTTGTGTCTTCGCATGGTTTTGGTGTCAGAGTGATGTTGGCTTCATAGAATGTGTTTGGAAGTGCTTTTGCCCCGTGCATTGTGTTTGGAACAATTACATAATCACTTTTATTGCACGGATTTTCAAAGTGTTATGTAGAACTTAGCTATGAGTCCAACAGGTCCTGATTTTTTTATTTTCATTTTAAAGAGTTTTATTTACTTATCGATTCAGGTTGGGTAGGTGCTCTTAGTCTGTTCATGATTTCTGTTTCTTCATGGTTCATTCTCAGCAAGTATATGTTAAAGAGTTTGTCTTTCCATCAGTCACCTCAAATTCTAGGGTGAATATATGTGGTTGAAAACATTTTTTTCTATAAAGTTTAAACCTACCTTAGAGAACGGCAGGATCCTACCACGCACCCATGGATCATATCAAGCACTTTACCCTGATATCACTTTACACTATGGTGAAATCATGACATGCACTGCCAATTGCTGAGGTGGATTTGTGAAAGAGAGCTGCAATAACCATTTACTGATGATAGTGGCTGGAACAGAAGTTGTTAGACTGGCACTGTCTATTACTACTGGTACAAGAGTTGATCCCTCTGGAACAACTTATGTACACTGACCTGGAGATGGACTGCCTGATTCTATGCAGTGTTAGATTTTTCTACCTAGCACTGAGTTCCAAGGCAAAGTTCTGAGTTAATACCCCTCATATCTTTACTTCATTCTGTGCTTCCCAAGTTTGAGGTAAGTGTTAATTAAGGTAGTCTGTTGGCCACCGAGATTGTCACTAATTCATGTCATTTCTGCATATGACTACCATAGAAACCTGTAGAGGTTTAGGAGACATCAGGCCTATGCCATACCTGGCAAACATTACGGGTCAAAACATGGAGTCAGTCTTCAGGTTGGAGGTCTCTGCCTGGGGACAAGGGTAAGTCTGCGTTTTCCATCTTAGAGCTTATGCTGGGATATCAAGTTTTTGGTGTTTGTGTATTGGAATATCTCATCATATTAGTCTATACTCAGCATCAAGACAAATTCCTGAGTTAGCATTTTTACTATTTCCCTACAAGTAGATTGTTGCTCCCTTTGTGAGTCTGGAGGAAATTAGTGGAGACAATCATATTATTATCTGCTTAACAGCAGTACTGGCCTGACAGTAATGGTCAGGTGAGTGTGTAGCACTTTCCTTGACGGTGATAGTCTTTTTCAAGATTTCAAATATAAGGCTTGGACTTAGTTTCCTATCTTCTTCCCAAGTAGCTTTTAAAAAAAAAAAAATATATATATATATATATATATATATATATATATATATATATATTGTAAACATACTGTACAGAGGGGTTACAATTACATGAGTAAGGTGATTAGTACATTTCCTATGGAGCATTATTACTTCCTCCTTTGTTTTTCCCCTACCATCCCTTTACCTCCCACCTCCCCAACTCATTTTCAGCATAATGTCTTATACATCTCATTGTTGCACTGGGTCAACCTGTATCCTTATTTCAGCATTTTGCTATTTCTATGCCATTCCTCAAATTAGAAAAACGTATAGACAAGATGCAGGCACCGGAATCAAATACAGTGACAACAGGGGTTATGCCATGGGGAAAGAACATACAAAAGAAACAAAAAAATTACATAGTACATTATAAGTACATTGAAAGCAACAGTAAAAAAGATTAAACCGCTCTTATGTCCCTATCTTGGGGTTCACTTCACTTTTTATCATTTTATTTGGTTGTATGTACGTAGCTTTTGACCATTTTTGCTTGTTCTAGACATATACTAGTATTTCAAATAAAGGAAACCATGGGACCTATGTATCTTTGGACATGGCTTACCTCACTTAATATAATTTTTTTTCCCAACTCTTTACACTTCCTAACCAATGGGGTGATGCCATTCTTTCTGATGGAAGCAGGGAATTCCATTGTATATATGTAAACCACATTTTCTTGATCCATTCATTTACTGAGGGACATCTGGGTTGGTTTGATATCTTAGCTATGGTGAATAATGCTGAGATAAACATAGTTATGCTGGTAGCTTTAGTATGGCCTTATTTGTGATCATTTGGGTAAATGCCCAAAAGTGGGATTGCTGGGTCATAGGGGCGCTTTATGTGGAGTCTTTTGAGGAATCTCCATACTGCTTTTTAAAAGTGGTTGAACAACTTTATACTCCCACCAACAATGCTGTAGGGTTCCCTTTTGGCTACATTCCCTCCAACATCTGTTGTTATTAGATTTCTTGATTATAGCCATTCTAACTGGGATGAGGTGGAATCTCAATGTGGTTTTGATTTGCATTTCTTTTATGGCCGGAGAAGCTGAGCATTTCTTCTTGTGTCTCTATTGACCATTTTTATTTCCTCTTCAGAGAAGTTTCTCTTTAAGTCTTTAGCCCACTTATTAATTGGGTGGCTGTTTATTTGAAGATTTGTTGTTGTGGGATGACTTTTTCTTCAAATACTGTTCAGAGTTATGGAAAAAATAGTGCAGGAAAGTAACTGTTTTCCTGTTATCTTCTATGTGTATAGTGAAAGTACGACAAAAGAATTATACTAAGATGAGGTGCCATGATCTCTTATTTGCAGCTTTCTTAGCACTTGTGAAGTGAGTTGATGAATAAATAGCTATGTAAACTGGTATGGCAGTGAAGAGAGGTTTGTTAGAAGATCTTAGTCACTACCTTGCTTGGCCTCCACATACGATGGTCTTGATTTTGATGTTATTTGTGAGGAGACAGAGGGCCAACATGAAGACTTAAAATAGGATAGGACAAAATAATTAACAGAAACCTAAATGACATGCTTAGACAGACAGTTATTAGGTATTTTGAGTCTTTAATTTTAATGTACTGGAGAGACAAATTTAACTGACCATTGAGAAAACCAAGAATGTAATGACTAAAATAGTAGACTAAAATTATGCTCCCTTTTGGTAAACAGAAATTATATATTTTTCATTTTGATATGTATAAAGTTATTAGTTGGGTCAAAACTAAAACTTGTCTGCCACGTTTTATTTAATGGAATGCCCAACAGTGTCTGCACTCTGCTTTTTTTTTTTTTTGCCAGGATGGGCACACTTACATCTCTTACATGATATGTCCCATATATCTGTCATGCCTACCCCTGACTCATCTTTCTTATCAGCATCAGCCTAATTAAAAAAAAATCTTTACATATGATTTCTCCCCTAAACAGGAGCCAGTAACTACTGCAAAAGGGAATATCCAGAACTCTGTGTGCAGTGGAATGGGTTCTTGTAGGGGGAGGGAAAGGAGAAGAGGAAGTGGTATCTTCTATGTCTCTGAAGATTTAAATTCATGCAAACCATTTCTAGTTAGGAACTCAGTAGAGCCCTCTTTCTATTTACTGTACATCATTGTGCTTAATTGGAATTTTTCTCTTGGTTTTGAATTCCTTGACCTAACCTGCCAGAGTGTGAGCATGAGCATGTCTTTAATTCATTTAAGCTACTTCAGGTGATTCTCAACATAGATAGGGTTGTTAATTGCTATTCAGTTTCAGTTTGTTTCAGGTGATTTTGAATGAAAGGAGGAAGCAGAACATATGATAATTAGAATTAATTATGAAGAGAGCAAGTACATAATTTTCCAAAATCAACAAGTGTTCTATTATTTGAAAATGAAAGTGAATGTTAGTTTTAATTTGCATTTCAGTGGACATAGTCTGAAACTCTATCTGGCCTTTCCATTTCAGGAATGTTGGATTTTATTTATTATTTTACATATATAGTTCGTTTCATTTAAAAAAGATATTTATGTAACATTGGAGCATTTCTGTATATGTGTGTGTGTGTGTGTGTGTGTGTGTGTGTGTGTGTGTGTGTGTGTGTGTGTGTGTGTGCCAGTACTGGGGCTTGAATTCAAGAACTGAGTGATTTCTTTCAGCTCTTTTGATCAAGGCTGATACTTTATCATCTGAGTTACATCTACACTTATGGCTTTTGGTACACTGTAGGTATGAGTCCCTTGACTTCTCTTGTTTGGGCTGGTTTCAAATCTTGATCCTCAGATCTCAGCCTTCTGAGTAGGGAGAATTACAGGTGTGAGCCACCAGCACCTGATTTATTTTCTTTTTCCTTTTCCTTTTTTTCCTTTTCCTAAAAATGATAATGGGATTTGAAACCAGGAACTTGCACATTCTAGTCCAGCACCCTAACACATTGAACCATGTGTTCAGTCATTTTTGTTCCTGATTTTTTTTTTCAGATAGGATCTGAAGTGTTAGTACAAAATGACCTTAGACCATGGTTCTTCTAGCAATGCTTCCTGTGTAACTAGCATTTGAGGAATGAACCACACCACACCTGGCTTGAGACAGAGTTCTACTACCTTTTTGCATGGGCAGGTTTCAAACGTTGATCTTCCTATCTTCTACCATCTTCCATGTATCTGGAGTGATAGGCATGAACCACTATGCCTCCTGGTCTTAGCTTTTTTTTAGGTACCAAATTTCTTTATTTGAAAGAATGGTACAAATTAAAAGAACTTAGGATGTTCTGGTACAACTTATAGAAAAGGTAATAATAACCCCAAACATGCAATGGTCTTAGTTATTTATTAAATGTATATCCAGATACCTAAACTGAAACACAGTAAACCCATTAAATAAAGGAACAACTTAAGCTAATATTTGATTGCATCCTTATTCTGTACCAGGTATTAAACTAAGATGTTTGTGCACACCCTTTTACTTGAGATTGATGACAATAACCATATATATTAGGATACATAATCTCTTCTTTGCTGATAATTGAATCTAAGATGGTAAGCCAACTGAAGAAACTCACATGGTATCCAGGTCCCTGGACTCTCTTTGAGCCCAAGTTATTCAAATTAAGACCCCTGGGATCTTAGCTAGTATATTATGCTTCTTAGGTCTTTAGTGCAGGATGATGAGGCACAGTTTACAGGTACAAATCCACAAGTTTTTATACTAAGTTTCAGCTTGTGGATAATGTTACAAGTTATTTTTTCTTTCACATTGGACATGTTTCAAGGGCAATTTACATAATGTGGGTCACAGTTAATGTGTAAATTGTAATGATAGTATGAAATTGGAAATATAATTACTCATTAGCCATACCCGCTTGCCAGAATTAAGAGAATCCCTAGAGACCGAGCTCTAGTTGGATGGGATTTGTGGTTTTTACATGAACTTTGGTAGTATCTTTTGTTTTTAATCCTCTCTTTTGTTTTTGTATTGTATATATGTACTGAGGTTCATGCTTCACTCAAATTTACATAGTTTATTCCTACTATTCATTTTAATATGCTTTATTGTAAAGGGGATATGCAGGGGTAATGATTACATTTCTTTTTGAACTGTGTTACCTCTCTCATTTTCTCCAACTTTTTCCGTCCCTGACTTCCCTCTCCCCATAGTTATAAAGTTCATTTCCAACATAGAGTCTAGTGAATATCCCTGTTGAATTGGTTCACCCTTTGTTCCACCATTTCTGTGATTCCCATTCCGTCTCCCCCAAGTCAGATAAGCTTATAAAAGGCAAAGGGTACAGAAATTTAAAAAACAAAAACAAAAACAGTGACATACAGGAATAAAACAAAGGATGAAAAAGGAAATAACTGTAAACAGTGTAATTAAAAAATCTCTTGTTTCCATTTCTTGGAGTTCATTTTGATAAGCATCATTTTATATAGTCATAGGTAAATAGCTATTGAGCTCTTGAGATAATTTTCTAAGAGTATCGTCCTTTGTTCTCATTGTTCAGTGCTTAGGATACTGTTTAATTAATCAGGTACAAGTGTAATTATTTATCTTTTACTATCCATTGGATTAATTTTTAGATTTATAGACATATTCTAGTTATTACAAATGAGGGAAAACATACATCCTATGTTTTTTGGGTCTGGCTTACTATACTTAATATGGTTTTTTTCTAAATTTTTCCATTTCCTTTCAATGGGGCAATAGAAGCATAGAATTCCATTGTGTATATATACCACATTTTCTTGATTCATTCATCCACTCAGGGGCAATGAAGTTGATTCCATATCTTAGGTATGGTGTGCTGATGGCTTTAGTACAGACTGGTCTTGTGGTCATTTGGGTAAATGCCCAGGAATGGGATTGCTAGGTCATAGGGAAGCTTTAAGTTTAGTTTTTTGAAGAACCTCCATAATACTTTCCAGAATGGGTGAACAAGTTTACATTCTCTCCAACAGTATAGTTGCATTCCCTTTTGGCCACATCCCCACCAGCATCCGTTAGTATTATTTTTCTTGATAATGTCATTCTAACTGGGGTGAGTTGCAATCTTATTGTGGTTTTGATTTGCATTTTTTCATGGTCAGGAATGCTGAACATTTCTTCATATTTCTATTGGCTGTTCTTATTTTGTCTTTGGAGAAGACAAAATGTTTGAGGATTTGTTTTTGGGTGGTTTAATTTTTTGTGCTTGTGGTATATTTTAGATATGAGGTGATGCATAGCTAGAAAAGATCTTCTCCCAAATCTGTTGGCTTTCTATTTATCTTGCTAGCTATGCCTTTGTCATGCAGACTCTGCAGTTTAATGCAATCCTATTTATCCAACCTTTCTGTGATTTGTTGTGTTTCTGGATCTTACTTAGGAAGTTTTGACTGGTGCCAAGGAGCTCCAGTGTTTCCCTAATCCTTCCCTGTAATATTTTCATGGCATCTGGCCTTCCATTGAGGTCTCTGATCCATTTGGAATTGATTCTGTTGCATGGTTACATATAGGGTCTAACTTCATTTATCTACAAGTATGTAGCCAATTCTGCCAGCACCATTTGTTAAGGCTATCTTTCTTCCATTCTATTTTTGTCTCCCTTATCAAAGATTAGCTGGCTATAGGTCTATGGACTTTTTCTGTCTATTGTATTAGCAGTAAAGCTCTGTGAACTGGGCATTGTACTCTGATCGTCAGCTTTTTTGGAAAGATGAGTTTCTTTCATCGCTGCTGTATATACCTGAGAACCATTACATTGTGTTATTCTAAAGAACTGGAGAAGAACTTTATTCAGTTTATCTTTTAATACGAACATGACTATACTCCAATTAGAAATTTAAAGTTGTCTGTCTTAGAGATATATGTTCCTTGAGTCTCCAGGGCAGACCTCTCAGAAGTGCATGTAAAGTAGTATTTTCTCAAGTGGATTGAGAACTCTGCTGAGGACTTCTGTTTGAAACTCTTGGGACAAAATGGATTCACCATTGTTTGTACCATATTATTGTAAGGTTGGTAAGAGTGTCGTGTAATAACTCAACCTGAAGCTGCACATAAAGAGGAAAATGTATGGAGCATTTTAGCTGATGTTCACACAATTGGCAACTATCACCTCTGACAAAGCAGTGCAGGAAAGGAGAGCCCAAAGCTAGAGAGAGTTCTGAGAGGAGAGCAATCACAACTAGCCCAGAAATTCATGGGACAAGGAAGACCAGGTGGCTCCACATAGACACTGTTGGAATTAAAAGTCTGCTGTAGGGATATTTTCACTTAAAACAATGGTAAGCTTCCCTCACTGCCACAATATGTAAATAAGGTGTGAAAATTTTAGAACCATGTAATCTGTTATAGATAGCTAACCCATTTTTTACATTTTAATATCTACATAGAACAATCTGGGAGCCATAAAAAAGTCTTGAAATTATTCTTGAAAATAATTCAAGAATCTCATAATGATCAATTAGTAAATTCTAACTTCACCTTAAAAATAAGTTAAAATATGTACATACATATATGCATGTGAATATGGACTTTAAAGTGAAAATATATACACATATATAAGCACACAAACACATATAGCATAACCTTTTCTTAGTGTCGTGGGTCCATTTTATGGAACCATATAACTTATATTTGTTCCTTATATTTCTCACTATTATAAGGGTATTGCTACAGAATGAATTACATCCCTCAAAATGCAGATGGTCATTCCAAATCTCCCAAAATGACTACTTTTGAAGTTAGGGTCATGAAATGAAATATAGGGATGAGGCTTTCATCCAACAAGGTTATGTCATTGCCATAGCAGGAAGAGACACCAGTAATGTGTGGCAGTGGAGAAAAGATCATTGTAGGACACAATGGCAAACTAGCCCTCTGAAAGCCAAAGCAAGAGGCCACAAGAAATCAAACTAGATGACATTTTGAACTTGGATATTCAACTTGGAGAACCATGACACAAATGTCTGATTTTGTTAAAAAAATATTTTTATTGTGAATATACTGTACAAAGGGGTTGCAGTTACATTACAGTAAGGTAATGAGTACATTTCCTATCAAGCCTTGTTAACTTTCTTTTTTTTTTTTTGTCGGTCATGGGGTTTGAAATCTGGGCCTACGCCTGTCCCTCAGCTCTTCAGCTCAAGGCTAGCGCTCTACCACTTGAGCCACAGCACCACTTCTGGTTTTCTGGTGGTTTATCAGAGATAAGAGTTTCACAGACTTTCCTGCCCTGACTGGCTTTGAATCATGATCCTCAGATCTCAGTCATCCTCCTGAGTAGCTAGGATTATAGGTGTGAGCCACTGGCACCCAGCTACCTCCTCCTTTGTTTTAAGTTGCCCCTATGTGGTGCTTTATTATGATCACAAATACAAGTATCATTACTTCTAGGCATTATAGGTTCTACTATAAGTTGTTGTGAGATATACTTTTACCTCTTAAGAAATTGTTAAGGGGCTGGGAAGGTGGCTCAGTGGTAGAGCGCTTGCCTTGCATGCATGAGGCCCTGGATTCGATTCCTCAGCACCACATAAGCAAAAAGAAAAGAAGCCTGAAGTGGCGCTGTGGCTCAAGTGGTAGAGCACTAGCCTTGAGCTGAAGAGCTGAGGGACAGTGCCCAGGCCCAGAGTTCAGGCCCCACGACTGGACCCCCCCCCAAATAAAAAGAAATTGTTAAAGAGAAGAGAGAAATATTATCACAATATAAATTAAAGGAAACTTGAATAGCCTAGACTCAATTATTTTGTTTTCCATATGAGTAAACTATGGTACAAAGAGATAAAATTATACACTTAAGGTCAAGCAATTAATTAGTTGCAGAATTGGGACCATGGCACATGTGTCCTGATTCAAATATGCCAGGAATATAGTAAGTATTCTTCTTAGCAGCCTGTTATATAATCTTCAGTGATAAGAAAAAAGAGACTACTTGTTCCATGATATCTCATGTACTGTATTTTAATAACTATTTCTTGTCAGGATTTTACTAAGAGCACATAGTTGGTGGTCTCTGAAATCGATACAGTCTGTTTTATACAAGTTGTGATTCTTAAATATCAACACAGAAATACTTTTTAATCTTTAAAAGTTATCTTCTCCTAGACTCAATTTGATTTGACTGTAAAGTGCCATTGCCACGTGGTAGTAATTTTAAAGCATTTTTTGGTCACTTAAATTTGACCAATAATACTGTGGCATAAAGTGATAATGTAGAAAATAATTAGTCCTTTTCAAAACTGTCTATCTTTAAATGAAAAAAATTATAAATGTTAGCTATGCCTATCAAAGAAGATGATGTTTTAATGCATGAAATTCACTGTGATTTTTAGAGACATTTTCT